TATTTGCGATACCTTTTATTTTCTGGGCTGAAGGATTATAATAGATCAGATAATTCTTATTCATGTGATTATTGGTAATTAAATGATTTATGGTCTGTAAGGTTAAAAATACGAATGTTTATGGGTTAGAGAAAAAAGTTATTGCACTCAAAATAATGTCACACACTTTTGAAAGAAAGCATGCTTCTTCCTCTTCACCAAGGTAGGGGAGGAACATGGACCCCGAGAAACAAACGACCTGAACGGCTGAGAGACTCGATAAAGGAGCTAGAAGTGAGTTGCTTTGTTTAGTTTTGAGAGAGTTTTATGCCCTACCAGACATAAATGTGTCATTTTAGAGGTGAAGCACTATGCTGGCTGTTTAGCTTATTGTTAAAATGGTAAATCTTTTCAACCCCAGTCGATAGGCTACAGTTCGGATCATTTGGGAATCAGGCCGCTTCTACCTGCCCCTTCAGGGCTGACCTGACGTTTTCTGCTTGCGATTGCAAAAAAGAGAGTATCAGTTACACTACTAAAGCTGACCCCTGTGTTTATGTTCAAGAAGGAAAATAGATGAAAAAAGGCATATAACATACATCAACAACAAAAAATTCCCACTTACAATCTGAGTATAGCTGTTCGTATGTCTTGTTCCACCATTTGAGGTAATTTTTCTCATTGTGTAATGATTCTATGTTTTACCCCTGTACCTTCTGGTCTTCATCGCTCTTCTAGTTATTTGCACACACACATTTTTGAAGTAGATTTACTTTGTGCTTTGTGCTGTTGATCTTATTGATGGAATGATGTAACCATTTTTGATTTACACATGTCCTGAAAAGTAGGGGGAGAGAAATGTTTTGAGTAGACGTTAATTTGTTACGCCTGTTTTTGTCAAATATGTATATTAATGTTGTTCATTGGCTGTTTAATTTTTAGTCTTATTCTAGTTATTTTGTTCCGTGCAGTTTGGATTCTTTATAAATTACATGGTTTTATTGTCATGTTCTGAAATATAACACTTTAAATAATCTAGCCTTGACATTTTCAGGAATTATAAACTGAAGTTCTAGTCAAATCCATCATTGTGAATAGGTTGTTACTTAAGCTACAGCTATTCCTTGAAATCTATAATTTTGATCACTTTTTTAAAAGGATAAACTGTCTTATATTTGTAACGCATTAATACTATTTTTTAAAACCCCATCTGCTTTACTCTCACAGGAACTGTTAGCACTAAACACATGCGTTCACATCCGATGGAGGAACAGACAAGTTTTACAAGTAATCCTATGTTTTTTTCTATTCCCAATTTAGAAGTCTGAAAGATGATTTATTTTTTGCTTTCTACTCTGTTAAGTTCTTTAGATCTTTAAAGTTTTAGTAGAGGTTTTACGGCGCTCGCAACTGCATAAGGTCATATGAGCGCCAGTTTCAAATCTTTAATGAAATATTATGCTTTGGGCTGTTTCAATTCTGGAGTACTGAATGATTGTGCAACAAAATGAAAAAATAGAATACCGTATAAAATGTGTATTACAACCATCCACCTCCTCTCACCCTCCTAAAGCATTTTAAAGATTGCTTTGTCCTTCACATCAGATTGTAGTGGATGTAAAAGTCATATTTTGACAAATTTTTGCAGTCTTTTTTTTCATTTCTTGTCTTTCATTTGAATACTTTAGTCACTGTTAGTTTTCTTATTACATGCCAACAATATAATTTGTCTTAAGGGACCTCCCCTCGTGTGATGTCTCCTACATTGTTAGTTTTAAATGAATGTTATTGAAATTAAAAGTCCTCAGTTTTAGTCTTCTTTAGTTTTTGTTATGACTTAATAGCAAGACAGAAGGGTTTAAGATATTTTAGGAATAATATGCTTTAAAGATCTTGTCAGTGTGTATGTGTTTTAGCACAACTTGCACTGAATGTTATCATTATTATTATCATTACTATGACTATTATTGTAATTATAATAATAATTGTTGTTGTTGTTGTTTTATCCTTGCATTGTTTTTGTTGTATGTTGCAGTTAGTGCTCAGCAATGGAAGCATAACTACTTTCCTCTTGAGCGGCCACTCTGGGGATGTTGAGAGAATCTTTATTGACAAGTCGCTGGTGGGGAAGCTCAGTGGAGAGGCCATTTGTGATGGTTTGCTTTTTTCTATGTCGTTTGTATTTAATTTTATGCTGGTGGCTGGATGAAGAAGGAGAGGTCCAAGAAAAAGCAATAGAAGAGTTAAGTGCTGATGGTATTCAGTTTTCATGCACTAGTTCGCATACATTTATTATACAATACAGGCTCATACATTTTCAGTCATAGAATTAATCAAAGCATAGTGGTATAAACTTTGTGCCCTTTTTATAATGTCTTTTTAAAACTGTTCCTTTGATCAAAAGTAATGTAGAATTGCGGTACACTGCCATAGCCCCGTCCCCAGTCCTACTCTCATGCACACACACATATACACGCACACATACTGACGCATAAGACTTTTGCTTTTTAGCCCTCCCCTGAACAACCTAATGAAAATTTAGTTGCATTATGTGCCATGTACATATTACAAATGTGCTCTCTTAGAAAAGAAGAAACAAATTGAAACTATTTTGAAGTACTCAAATGAACACAGATAGATGGTTTTTTTTTATTTTTCAAGTGTGGCTGAATGTACTGACTCACATCACATGTTGATAAAAGAAGGGAGCAATAAACAATAATATGAAATGTTCTTTTTTTCATAATCATTTCTTTTTACTCAGTTAATTGTATGGATGAGGCAATATCCCTTTTAAGTACTTGTATTTTTGTATAAATTACTATTTTTTACTCTTTTTCAGCTTGCCTCACTGATCAGTTTTTCATGGCTTCGCATTCCCATTCCAACCGTGTAGACTTTGCATATTTCACAAAACGCCCACCTCTCAGTGAAGCTGCAAAGCGTCTAGAGAAGCTGTCTGCTTGGGAACCCAAGGTTTTTAAATCAATTTTCTCAATCCCATTTTTGTTTTGAAAAGTAAATATCTGGTCATTGTGTGTGAGAGATAGGGGTCTATTAGTTTTCCTTTCTCATTTTTCTACTGAATAAAACTTATGACTACACAAAAGTGACTGAGAGTTTCTTATGATGCTCAGAATGTTATGTGTATATTTCTTAAACAAGTACACTCATAATTAATTTTAGATAGAAGATTATTCCTGAATTTATTCAGACTCTAGCAGGCTAGTCCATTATTTTTGGGATCTTTGATAATTCTTTGTTTCAATTTGTTACTGAAAGTTAACGTGGTACGATCTAGAAAAGAAAGTAAGTGTACAGGTTTAAAGCCTCTTTCAATACTGATAAATCATTTAAGAAAAGGTGCCTCTAGATTCAAAGTCCATCTCTGATAAAACCAAGCCAGGTGGGTTGAAAGCTTTGAAAATTCCACAAGAATACCCAGATGGGGATTCAAAGCAGGGTCATTTTTTCCTTAGTTCAACTGAAAACCAACTGAGCTAATGATGTGCTGTAACAAGGTCTTTTGGTGTTATGGTTTTGCAAATGAAGATAAAGATGTGGAAAAAAAATTCCAGCTTATTGAAGTAATGATTTACATTAAAAAATGAAGGAGGGAACAATTTGAAAGCAGACACCATGAAAGTTCATAAAAAATGAGTTCACAGTCTGTGATATATGAATTGTTCATGCTTGAAACTGTGATAAATGTCTTTACTTGACATTGTACCATGAAAATGTTTAGGTGTCTGTCCATTTGTAGGGTCCTGTGTTTTGCTTTGAAGAGTTAATGGTATTTTGTTATGCTGTCGATGGAAGTGGGAATTTGCTGCTTAGGTGATGATGTAATTCTTATTTATTCTTTTGTATGTAAGTTTTTCTCGTTGCTTAACAGATCTCACAATTAGACATCCCGGGACCTAAAGGCAGAAGGCTAGACAGGAAAATGTCCCTGAATACATCACAAGACATGGCAAGTCTTCATATTGTATTCTAAGTGTGTGTGTGTGTGTATGTATGTGTGTGTGTGTGTGTGTGTGTGTCTCGATGTGTGTGTGTGTGTGTGTGTGTGTAAATATGTTCTAAGACTGTGTATTTAAGTATTAATAATTTTGTTGTTGAATGCAGCAAGTGTTTGATAAGCCTAATTTTAGTCTTCATTTGAATATTTTTGCTTCATGTCTCATGTCAGACTGTTTAGTGATGAGTACAAGTACTTAACCTTTAAAAAAAAACCTAATCTTAACCATGTTCAGGCCCCCCCCCCTACACACACACACACATCCCCCCAATCTCTCATCCCTGCATCCTCTCTCTCTCTC